ATCGTGTGGTACCAACCGTTACCCAAAATCTAAGAATTGGCTACTCGTACACTGTTATGTTGATCGTGATAATAATGTATCGTGTCTAGAATGATGATGTGCAAAAAATGTTTAATGCTACAAAAGATCAAGAGCTAATTTCGCCTTGTAATCGAAAAGCTGAAAAATACGAGTGTGCAGTAAAATTCGAGATTCATCCGCTGCCTCGAATATCCAACGCATTTTTCTCCATGCACTAGTCCGTTAATACCTCTCCACATATAAATCAGCCCTGAATGCAGCAAATAAATGCAGATGATTATGTGGGATGCTACAAGGTAACACATGATATTGTGCGAAATTACGACCGATTATTTACGGGGAATTCATTTTACGTAGTCATGTGCCTCTTTTATGGAGATGATAGAATCACATATGGGTCGTAAACGGCGTCTGTGTCCTGACCAAAAAATGGCGGCTACTCTGCTAACGAAATCTTTCGTCGATTTCCAACTGCGAGACTTGATCAAACGGTGCTAGATATAGTGAGTAAAGTGAAAAGTAACGTAAATCTTTCTATTTGTACCGAGATTTGCAAGTTAAAAATTATGAAGAAAGCGTATAATTAATTACGTCTGAGGCAAAACGTATCCCCGTCTCGGGAATGGCATTCAGTGATAGAACGACCCCAAGAAGCTCATCATACGCTGATCGGTAGGTCTAGCATATACTACATAATGACACGCTCACTTCGACTTTATTTTTTATACTTAACCGATCATTTTATTATTTCTCGTTTGCAAGTACATACATTTTAGCACCATCGATTCTACTTCTTAATAGATTTAATGAACCACGATTAAGTCTGTTAAAAAAGACTGTATCGATGTCATAGCAGTTTTACATATCCTCGCCGACATAATATTACTTTTAATACATTTAGTGTGTCAATTTTTCGTCCGCGCTCTGGCAAAGCAACATCGATATTTGAACATTGAGTCGTCAGAAGTCCAGAACAATTTCGGGTCTCTTGATCTCAAACATCATACCACGGTCATCCTGCTCAGTCGACACTACCGCGTCGCACTAGTTTGGTCTGCAAAATGTAAGCTTCCTACGATGTATGTCCATCATTGAAATACCAACTACATGACATCGTACCTTAAACAGTGTCAGTATGGGATTATTGACCACGTAAATATTCAAGTTTAATGTTACAAGATGAGATGGGCTAGTAAAGGACTTTTGATCTTCTGCTACTTATATTTGCATGATTCTATATTGCGGATGTATATCACGTGAAGCCACGCTTTGTGGTCTTAGTAATGATGCAACGATCAATTGTAATGGATCAATTTAGTCCGTAAGATACTCTTTGTCAGACCGAACTAGCAGTGGACACTTTTGCTTACATATATGTTTACGTGACGTCTACATAATATGTCAAAGTGTGGGTCAAACTCTTTCCATCAATCAGCATAGATAAATGTCGATGTGACAATTACCTTGTCGACAGTGATCAAAACTAATATCATCATCGAAGGTGAAAAGCGAATATTAAGCACCAATGGACGTCCAATTTGCTTGCTGATACAGACCAGCATCTTAGCCAAATTAGACCCTATATCGAAGAATCGTGCGCAATTGGTGGTCGAAAGTAATAAGCGTACACACTTGTAGATTTATGCGTCTTAGCAAGGTTTAAGTTCATATTCTTTACCTGATTAGCTGTTAGTAGCACCGACAATGTCTTCTAAGTGCAGGTCCATTTTGGTTTACTCGATCATTAGCACGACAGTATATGTGAACTTCCACACTCATATCTATCGTGCCATCAATGTAATAGTATTATAACTCTATCAGTATATATAACAGTTTCCCAATCCGTCACCATCGCGGACAGGATGACGGCCAACTAAAGTCATAATTTGAATGTGTAAGATGCGACATGCTGCACAATGTAGTATCATATGTTGACTTGTGGGATTCTAGCACTAATAAATCTTAAACACGATGCGCTGGCGAGTAAGTTCTAGAATTAAATCTCTTCAATATTCCTAATGGGCGACACGTCAAACTATACTTTTGCTTGGATTTGGTTCTATAGCAGTACAGCAGCGTATCCTGACCGCTTGCGCATAACTCCTTAGTTATGTGATGACATCATTTATATCATACATGCATCATTCAATATGCTCAAATATCAGGAAAGGCGTACAAGGTTTGTACCGCAGAAACGAGTAGTTTAAGATTTAAGATACGATCGATGTATGTGCAACCTCACGCTTTTTCATTGATGCAACCGAGAAGCGACCGCAAAGGCGAAACAGGTAAAACAAAATCAGTTGCAGATTTTGAGATTAAGGTCATCTTAAGCAACAAAGTTGGCAACGTTGCGTGCCGTGATAATTCATCCAGATTTGCGAATTGTACATGGCTGTTTTTTACAAGACTCCTCGCTTAACGATGAAATAGATATATGTAAAGATAAGTGGAAATAATGTCGTTGTATGTACATGGTGGTCATTATATTTTGTTTTTAGCAGCATTAGCAGCAAGCGACTAAGGAATAAGTGGTGCGATTGTCAATAATTAAGAATTCTTGGAGGTACAGAAAAAAGTTCGCGAACAAAGAATACGATATTGAGTTATCGTTCCATTCGACCAGTAGTGATCAAGCGGACACTTTTATTTCGATACCGTTTTTTTAATATATATGTTCATAACCGCAACGAAGTCTAGCAGTGTATATGTACCAAATTCTATTTCTGTGTATCGAAAGGGGGAATTGACAATGAGCTGCTCATCGTTGACACCTTGGTAACGAAGAAGTACATCATGATAGACTGTTTGAGCAGCTGGTACAATGACACGGGCTTTCATATCCTTTTGCATCTGCAGAAAGAACATGATCATATCGCACATTGATGAGCTCTAATACCAGAGAGTTAAACATCCACGCAAGTCCTTTGCGTGGGGAGGGTATCATTGCGAGATGATGGCCCACTTACAAATGTATAAAAACGTTTCTGCAGCGCAATGTCTCACCAAATAGTCAAGCAGTTATTGAAGAATGACACCTATTTTTGCTCATAGGCAATAATCTAAATATCTAGATGTTCTACATGGCTGGCGGACCACTATTGTCTAAATATAATCTCATTCGATATATGTGTATACATGCACAGATACAGTATAAAGTATCGTAGATATTTCCTTTGCCGAAGTCATGGTAACGTCTACAGCTGGTGACGCAATAAGTCATGTTGCTTCGCATTTGCAAAGAAGCTTGCTATCCAGCTACCACTACCATATATGACGACGATCAAGTCGCATTATCATCAGCAGAGCATGCTGGACGTCAGTCGTGAGCACACATACATTGATCTGTGCTGTCGTGTTGCGCGAGATGCACGATTAGGCAATACTATTCTAAGTCATGTGCTCTCTACTTTTCAGCTTGTGTCCGTCATGTGAGCTCCACTCACCTACATCATAAGCCACCAAGCTTGTCTAGTTGACCGAATTGATCAATGACTGGAATGTTTGCAATCGGGTGAGGTAACAAGTGACGAATTGCTGCCACCTGCGAAGAAAAAATTGGTATTCATGATCATTTGGCACAAAATCCGATATAATTTTGACAGCGTTACACTCGAACGTAGTCAAATTGTGAAGTACAGATGAACTCACATCATAGTGCACAACTGTGGCTTCGAGGTATCAACGCAGAAACGAGGTAGCTTGCACAACAAGTTACAAATAAGGCATAATTTGCAATGCGAGATCCAACGATGATCAAGACAGCTCATTTCGTCAATGTCGAAACAAGAAGCACTCATGATCCTCAGAGGCTCCTTTGCGGCAATGTAAACAAGGACTGTTGATTTGGTCGGACACAGCCGCACTCATCAATGTGCTGATAGACGAGACTCCTGATTGCTTCGACCACTGCCATGTTGGTCCGTATTGGCTGAGGTCAAGAACACGACCGAAAAGTGTCTGCCTGATTCGGACTTGCTAGCACTGCATTTAGAGGTTTCCACGACTTCTGTTATTAGACGAAGGGATCCACGGTCCTTGTGAGCTTGGCTTCGAGCTGTACAACATCGCATAAGACGCTCTGCGTTTGCGTACGGAGATGCGTTTGGCTTTGTGTCACCAACGCAATGTCATTGCAAGCATCGTTCTGGCCGACACGCTCATCCGGCTCGACAGTGCAGTCATCTAGCCGTAGCTGTTGTAGACGTTTTGTATTCTGCTTGTGAGGAGACGGGTGCTACCGGTCATGTTTTCTTTGTATAATATGGAGCTAATCAAACACTGGTGTGTTCCATCGGACACATGTGCTACTTTTGCAACACCCCGTGCAACAAACCATCGAAACAACTTGCAATTCAGTCACTTTGCATCCCATGCCCGTTGCCGGACTGATTATTCATTGTATCAACTCTTGTTCATGAAGAACAATGAAGCATCACATTACAGCGTAGTTCTGTGTATCGTATCTTTGCCTTCTTCAATTGCTTGAGCACGTGCCACAAAAAATAGAGTGGCTTTATACTGAACGCATCCACCCCTACGCCATCTTGCGTGGTCAGACTTCTAGTCGCCTAGTGCACCCGTCTAGCGGCTGTAGACAGTAAATCGATTGCTCACGACGAAATACGCATGTCGCTGGATTATTCAGATCCCACAAGTTCTTCAGCTCTTGCGCATGGGAACGACACGTCACGATTGCAGTCTGCTCTGGTAAGCTAATCGACGGACGATGGCAGTCTACAATGTCTTCTAATGCAGCCATCGAACTCTTTATGGCTCGCGGATCATTTTTCGTCTAAGCGCGAAAAGGCGCTTTTCGCCATGCTTTTCGGTATAAAAAACAGCCAATTGTCCAAACGTCTGTGTGTTTCCATTCTTATGCATTCTTATGTTGCATATCCCGCTTACTGCAACGTGTCGGTTTACCGCCAATCAGAGTCGCGGATTCGCGCGGCACTGCCGAAGAGCTACCGCCGACAATGGACGTGCGCCATGTGCTGCGGACGACTCTGGGCTGGGACTTTTCGTTTGCGTCCTCGGACTCGTCTGTCGCTCGCTGCCTCGTTGCGCACCCGGAAGATGCCACGCGGTTGGCCGAGTGGCTCGTGCGCGAGCTACCGCCGCTGACGTCGCTAGCGCAGTCCCAAAATAGCGTCGACAGGAGCCCAAAACAAGGCCCACGTAGCCGCTGTCCGCGAGATCTCGAGACGCTGTTGGCCAAAGAATTAAGTTGTAGAGGTTCTGTCCACTCCACGTCGACGACGTCCGCGCGGCCGCAGCGAGAAGATCCTGAACCCAGCGACGAAGCCGGTCGGTTGCAGCAACAGCAGGTGCGTCAATGGGTCACATGCGATGGAAGTAGCACGTCCAGCTCATCGTGTGCGGGTTTTTTTTTAATTTGGGATTTTTCTGTCATGTCTAACAAAAACAAATCGTGTCGATCAATGGTCATGCAAAAAACACATGCGGTATAAAACCTCAACCGGACGACGGCAGGGACCGCTGGCCGCTGCGCTGGAGCGCTTGTATACGGATGTTCCCCTGTATACACCCAGCGACAGCGCGACCGCCACGCACCATCTGTTTGAGAGCGAGGCGACATCGTGTAACGCCCACTTGCCTACCCTTCGAGGCGTGATGGCTACAAACCACAACGTGACCTCTTCGTCGACAGTCACTTCAACTTCAACATACACTTTTGCCGTCTTTGACTACGACGCGCAGTCCCTTCAGGACGTGCTCAAGTACAATCGGACGGTACTGGGCGACGGGGCGGCCACGCGTGCAGCCTCGAGCAGCACCGACGAGCAGGACGCGCTGGGAGACCTGAAGAAGCGGCTCGTGCTGTTCCAGCTGAGCCGCGTGCTTGCGTTCTTGCACCAACGCGGATTGGCTTGCAAGGGCTTTTCGCCGCGCGATTTGTACCTCACTGATACGTTGTGGCTGCGGCTCGCAGCACTGCATCGGGTGCTCGACACGTGTGTTACAGTCTGTGCCGGTGCTGATGCCACTGGACATGACACAGCCACAAGTGCCAGTGCGTCGGTCCCTCGTGATCTCACGATGAGCTCTTCGAGATCCATGACAGACCGCTGGGTCACGCGAGACGTGAGCAACTTTGAGTACCTCATGGCGCTGAACATGGCAGCTGGACGGCGGATGGAAGACGGCGTGTTCCACCCGTTTCTTCCGTGGGTCACGGACTTTACTGCTGGTCCCCATGGCGGCTGGCGCGAGCTGGGCAAGAGCAAGTTCCGCCTGAACAAAGGAGACGCCCAGCTGGACAGCACGTTCGCCTGTAGTGCCGTGCCGCACCACATTACAGAGAGTCTGTCCGAGATCACGTACTACATTTACATGGCAAGGCGGACGCCAATGGCGTTGCTTCGACGCGTGGTACGTGGTGACTTCCAAGCGCGTGAGTACCCATCGACGATGGCGCGCATGTTTGAGTGGACGCCGGACGAGTGCATTCCAGAGTTTTACGCAGACTCGGCTGTCTTCAAGTCGCTCCATGATAACAACATGAACGACCTGCAGGTTCCAGTCTGGTCCGATGGCGAAGGGGACGATGCTGCGTCAGTGTTTGTGCGACTGCATCGGGCAATGCTGGAGAGTGACGAGGTGTCGGCACAGCTGCACAAGTGGATCGACTTGAACTTTGGGGCAGCGCTGAGTGGCGCGACTGCGGTTCGCGAAAAAAATGTTCCGCTTGTCGTGCACGCTGCCAACAAAAGTCCTGGCTTCGTACAGCTTTTCACGGACCCGCATCCAAGACGTACCGGTCGCTGTCCAGGACGAAAGCAGCAGGAAGCAAAGACACGGTCAGCCGTTGATCATGTCGGGACAAAGGCGAACTCACCACGAGCTGCGCTGCGGCCGCGGATACATTCTACAAAAGAGGTCAGTGCGATGCTGTCGAGAGCAATGCAAGTTGTGACAGATGCCCACAAAGACGGCGAATGCCTGTCTTCGTCAATGGGAGGCGCGGCATCGGGTGGGTTCAATGGCATGGGCGGTGGAGTCCGAGCGGGTGGTCGCGAGGTGGAAGTGTCGCGTCTGGGTCTGCTGCATGGTCAAGGCTGCGTGGATGCTGCTGCCGGTGTCAGTGGAGCTGGCGGGACAAATTGTGGGGGACTGACAGCAGCGTCTCCGAATGAAGCTACACGTAGCCAGATCATCATGCGCAACCTGAAACAACGTCGACGAGGCAACAAGTCTCGAGTCCGATCGCAAGCAAATGGAGCTGACTCCACACCGCCCGCTTCAGCGCACGGTGGACGGGAAGCTTTCTCGCCTCCAGTGTCAGGATCAAGCGGACTGAGCGCCTCACGGCTTGGAAACCTCTTCCATTCGGACTCCAACAGCATCTCCAACAACAACGCTCACGGCGGGTTCCCAATTCCTCTCGAAACGTCAGTCAGTCCGCCAAACTCGATGGAGTCATGCACGAGCTTCGGTAACAATGCCAACAGTCGAAGTCTGACGGCAGGCAGCAGCCTCACGGATCATTTGCGCGTGCTCACGATTTCGGCACCCCAAACTGCAAGTGCCAACGTCAATCGAGAGTCGGGTGGGTCAAATGGATGTCGAACCTCCCTCTCGCATCACACTCGACATTCTTCGCTCGGTAGTGATGGCTCAACCACTGCTTCGCATTTGTTGCGCGACTTGTGGCAGCAGCTGCGCCAACCTGAGGATGATGGCTCTCTAGGAACGAGCGTTGTTGGCGGACAGGCTGCTACCGGCCAAGCACATGGCCATCACCGCAGCGGAAGTGCTGGCCATGAACTGCAATTGGCTCTCGGGGGAACAGCAGGTGATATGCAGCTCTCGGAGCTGGATGCTGCTAACGACATCGATCCTGCCGTCGACGTCTCTGGACCACTTGACGACGTGGACCTGAAGTTATTGCAGCTTGGACTGCCGATCGTTCTTTGTGGCGATGAGAAGGAGCCACCAGTTGACGCTGATGTTGGCATACGACCTGAGCTTGGAGTAGAAGCGTTGAGGGCTGATGGACAGCAAGCAGTCGCGGATGCAGTTGTTGACCCGATTTATTGTATCCCTGACGACCGGGTGAACCACACCGCACAGGAGCTCGGCCTGTTTGAACGTGCTCAGGCTGCCGACATCTTCTCCATGGGCTGTATCGCTGCTGAGCTGTACACACACAAGCCCGTGTTCTCGCGGCGGTCTCTAGCAGACTATCTCGATGCTTACTCGAAACAGCAGCAACAGCAGCAGCAAGACACGTCTAAAAACGTGACACCTCAAGCGGACGGCTGGATCGCGGGCATATTGGCTGCCCAATGCAGCCGCGCAAAAGTCTCGCAGCAACAGCTTCCGTGGAACTACGCGCTGTCGGAACGGCTCGTTGGGTTACCGCTCAATCTGAAGCAAGCAGTGCTCGATATGCTCCATCCAGATCCACGCGAGCGACTGCTTCTCGCACGTGAGATTGACGGGTTTGATGCCGCAGTGCTGGACGACCCGACGTGCGCTGCGAGGAGCGAGGCTTGCGTACCGTCGACACGGTCGCTGAACACATTTCGCGCGGCTCCGTCTGCACTCTTTCCAAAAGACATGGTGCTTGTGTACAAGTTCCTGACCAAGCTGCACAGCATCCCGGAGCGCGACTGGCATGCCCGCTTCACTGCTGCCAGGCGACTGCTGTCATCGCTCGCTGGCTTGTCGGAAACCCTTTTTCGCGTGGCAATGCCAGAACTAGTGCGCTTCTTCCGAGCACGGTCGCACACAGAGACCATTCGCGCAGAACAGGTGACGGCGGCTGTCATCTTCTTGCTTCCTGAGATGGCACGGCAACTCGGACGTGAACGAGCTCGCACTGAGTTGCTGCCCGATGTCGTGCGGGTCTACGAGAGCAGTGAGCTGGGGCGCTCCTCCTTTCTGCGGTGTTGTCTGGGAGCACCGAGCGTGTTGCTCTCGCTCTTGCGTGCGTTCGGAGCTGCTGTGGTCCTCGACAGTATCGTTCCTGTCGTGCTGGAGTGGCTTGTGCCACCTGTAGCAGCCGACACCGATGCAGACTCGAGAGCGTCATCCACGTCGCTGTCCTCCCGGTCACCACTGCCATTTGCAGCCGAGTCAGCAGCTCTCACTGCCGTAACGTTTGGCGAGTTGTCGTCGTCAGCGATGTTGGGCCCGTCCCTCACTGCCAAGTACGTGCTGCCGTTGTTGCTGACGCAGCTGGGCCACGTGAAGAATCGCTGGACGCACTTGGCCGACTGCAAGACGCTTCGCCGGACTGACAACAAAGGCAGTGGGGCACCTGCGCTCACCGAGGACAGCGAATCGCACCGAAGCGCCGAGTTCCACATCACGTTCGTGTCCAAATCCAAGCTGTACGAGTCGCACCACGTCGCCGACGCAGTGTTGCACGTGTGCCGCGAGTTGGGCGACTTTCCCATGGCGAAGATGCTGTTGCCGCGACTGCTGGAAGTGCTGCCACGACTGGTTGCGCTCGCTGAGAAGATCGGCTCCGTACGCATCGAAGGCGTTCCCGTACGTGGCAATCGCTCGCGCTTGGGACCTGCGCTTGCTTGTAGGTCGTTGCGCCACTGACGTCTCGTGTTGTGCATGTGCTCGACAATGCTGTTTCCAGGAAGAGCTGGCGCGCGAGATCTACGTGTTGCTGCGCGTTTTGCGGCACGTGATCCGGAGCTTGAACGACACGAGTTCGCTGCAGGACCTCCTGTCCCGACGCTCGCGCAGTAACCTCATGGAGCTCTTGAAGCAAGCGGCTCCGCCGTTCCTGCATCCGCGCATGGCGACCGCTGTGATCGCAGCTGCTACCTCTGGTGCCCCGCCAGCTGCATCGTCGACGCACGCAACAAGCACTGCCAGCTCGACCAAGAAGAACGTGCTGCGCAGTCTCCACTTCCTCAAGGAAGCCGACCACCGCAGCCTGCGCGCGTTCACGGCCGTAGGCCTCGCGCGCACGATCGCCGCCGTGTGTCAGAAGCTCGGGGCCGACGCGACCGTCGCAGACAGCGCCGCCATCAGCGGCCTCAACGCGTTCCTCAAGCGATGCAGCGACGTCTACGCCGAGCTCGAAGTGTCCAACTTCCAGTGGGATCTCGCCAGCGAGTTGGTCAGCGAACTCTGCGTGCCGCTGCGCACGCTCTTGGGCAAAGAGCTCTTCAACCGGCAGTTCCCCATCGTGGCCAGCAGCTCCGTGCTCCAGTTGCTGCTGCTGCCGCTGAGCAGCAGCAGCGCCGACGTCGGCATGAGTCGCACCGGCGGCTTCAGCAGTCGCGTCGCGAACAACGACCAGCGGAACGTCAGTGCGCTGGACGACCGCTTGGCGCAGTCGCAGACTCCGCGACGACCACAGGTACCCGTGACAGAAGACGCGGCCGACGACGACGACATCGGCGGCGTTGACGACAATGACGTTGACGAGGACGACGAACTCGACGACGACGACTGCGGTCCTGCGGGACCGACGACACCTCCAGAAGAAGACGGCCGACTGCCGCACGCGCCCGAGTTGCTGCGCTTTGCGTACCACGCGGTCCGTCTGCATTCCGTGCGGGCCACGAGTTTCCTCGGCGTGCCATCGCACGTGCTCACGGGCCACCGCGCGGCCCACTTTGAGACGGCGCTCCGCAACGAAGTGGCGCTCTTGACGGACGCGCGGCGCCAGCGCAAAGTGGCGGCGACGCACGCGGCCGACCGCGCGACCGCCGACGCCGTGTGGCTCCGCCCGCGCGTGCGGCAGCTGTTTGAAGCGCGACACGCCGACCCGCCCGCAGGACCGCACAACGGCAATGGCGGCTCGAGCGGCGTGCCCGGCCGGTCGTGGGCGCTCCAGGGAGAGGTCCGGCAGTCGCTCAAAGCGCACTCGAGCGCCGTGCGGTGCGTGAGCGTCGACGCCGACGAAGAGCTGCTGTTGACCGGCAGCCGCCACGGCTCGTGCCGCGTGTGGCGGCTGGCCGGCCACCCCGTGCAGGCGCGCGCCGCGGCGCCGACCGGCGGGTTCGACGGCCGGCCGATCCTCTTTGTCGCGCGCACGGGCCGCGCGGCCGCCCGACCGCTGAGCCGCAGCGCCGGCGGACCCGTCGACGGCCTGGCCGCTGCGGCCTCGGCGGCCGGCGTGCTGCTCTGGGACCTCGAGACGAGTCACGTGCGGCTGCGGCTGCCGTGCGCGGCCCCGCACGAACCGCTTGTGTCCATGGCCACGACCGTCCCGGCGGTCGACGTGGCGGTCGCGACGCCGCGCCGCGTCCTGTGCCTCGACGTTCGCTGCGGGCCGCGCGTCGTGGCCGACTGGGGCGCCGACGCCGGCCGCGTCGCGTCGCGAATGCTCCCGTCGGCCGCACGGCTCCACCTGTCGGTCGTTGCGCCGCTCGCGACGCACGACGCGGCCGCGTACGTCGCGCTGGGCACTGCCAGTGGACATCTCGTGCTCCTGGACGCGCGCACGGGCCGTCACGTGGCCAAGTGGCAGGCGCTCGACGCGCACGTCCGCGTCGTGTCGGTGCTGCAGCTCTCGACGTCGCTCGTGCTCGTCGTGGGCGCCGAGAAGGACGCGCGCGTGTGGCGGGTACGAGCGCCGCTGGACGACCGCCACGGCGGACTGCACCCCGAGCTCTACGCGACGGTCCACGGCGTGCCCGAAGGCGTGACCGCGGCCCAAGTGTCGGTCCACAAGGCGCTCGACACGACTGTGCTGTACGTGGCGAGCGGCGCGCGCGTCTACTGCGCGCAGCTGCCGACTGCCGACCACAACCAGCCGCTGCCGCTGGTCGTACGAATGGAAGCCTGGCAGCTCGCGGACGTCGGCAGCAGCACTGCCTCGAGCCGGAGCAGCAAAAGCCGCGCCGTGGCGTCGGCGATCGCTGTGCTGCCGCTGCGTCAGGTCGTACTACTTGGCGCCGACGACGGCTGCCTCAAGAGCGTCGTGTGAGGCCGTGCGTGCAAGTGCAGGGCGGAGGAAGGCGTCGCTTGTACGACAGCGACGACGGCCGTGGTCGCGCACGTACAAAAGAGACAGCCCGTCGTACAAACACGAACCCAGCACGAGCAAAGCATGTACCACACGAAAAAGCGCTTTGTATTTGCAGCAATGTGCCGGCGGCGGCTGAGCCTGTGTCACGACAAGACAAAAGCCGGCAGCTGCCGTAAAAAGCACGTTATTCGTTCAGCCCCTTGGCTTCGTTGACGACGTTCTTGTGCATCGTTGCGATCTTGCGGCGGTGCAGCTGCCAGTCGGCGCCCGCGTCCTCTTTGTAGCGGAAGAGGTCCTGGCGGTTCTTCTTGTTCCAGTTCACGTCCGGGTGGCCCGACAGGTAGCGCACGCACTGCGCTGTGCAGAGCGCCGAGGCGACGACGCAGGTCACGAGCACGGGCCACGTGCCCTTGTCGCCGAGCCATCGCTTGGTCGCGGTCTGCGCGGCGCGTCCGGCCATTTGAGGTCGAGAGGAGGCGATGGAGGAGGACGACGGGCGCAAGAGGCGGAGAAAAAAGCGGTTTGGGGGAACCACTTGATGCAAATTGCAGAGTGAGGCGCAGGGGGAGTGGGTGTCGGTGTGGGTTTGTGTGGTGGCCGGACAGGCGGAGGCAGCTCATGTATACCATACGTTCTCTCCCTGTGAGACTTGATCGTGGGAGAAGAGCGCAGTGCGTCTAGGGCTGCTATGCTGTGTCTGCAGAGGTTGCTGAAGACAAAGAACAATCGAAAGATTTGGGGGTGGAAAGTGAGGCGTCATCAGCTTTTTTGTTTTTTGGATCAGATGCGGATCCGCTGGAAACGCGTTCATCAACGGCTCGAAACATGCAGTGCGGGGATCCCTTATCCTGTTTTTGACCACGAAATCGGATAACAAAGAGCTTCTGACGCCAGACGCGTGCTCCGGATGTGTGGCGGAGTCTTTCGGACCCGCCTGGACTTCAGTTGACTTGCCAGTAGATAAGAATGAAGCAGACCTCGATCTTCCGACGCTGCGTTTCGTTTCAATATGTCGATCGATCCGATGCTCCGCTTGGCGCAGTGCTCGACTTGGCGCAAAAGGTTTACCGCGACAACAAACTACTGCCAAACAAACAGCTGAGACGTTATCAGTGGCAGTTCACACGAAGTGGATGTCGCAGCAGAGCAGAATGTGCGAGCAAACGTGCGGCCAATTATCAGTGCATAAGCACAGGTCAAGTGTCAGCATTGACATGTAAACGAACAAAAGGTGGCGAATGAGCTGCAATTTCCATAGTCGTGCGAAGTTATCGATCGCTCGTTTTGCACGGACCGCAAAAGCAAATTAGCAGTGGCGCAACATAAGATCGGCGCTCGTCGCGCACTAAACGCTCCTCGCTGTCAATTAGCGCGCTCGCCATGCGACACAGGTGCGCTATTGTTTTTACCGCGCTCTCGTCACCGTTATGACCTCTCTCGTCTCGTTCTCGTTCTGCATCAAGTGCGCTGGCTGGCTCCTTTGCTGCCCTCGCCGGTCTGTTGGGCAAACTCGGCGCTGACAGTGGCTCGAGCGCACTGCACCTCATTGAAACGCAGTGTCTGGCATCGTCTCTATCCGAGTCGTGTGCCCTATTGACTTTTGCCGCGCGTCTGCTGTGTCTCGCGCTCATGCTCGGCGCGAATGGGCTCATGCTCCGGTGCTTTGTCAAAGGGCTGCACGAGACAGACTCACTCACGGCCACCGTCACGAGCGCAGCTGTGAACTTTGTGCTCGCAGCTGCTGGCGGCGCATTGTTTTTCCAGGAGCAGTTGTCAATCCGCTGGTGCGTTGGGGCGTTCCTCGTGGTGTCCGGGATCGCGCTGCTACTGTATGGAGAGCGGAGTGAAGGAGACGAGAAAGCCAAGCGGGAATAGAAACACGGACGTCATTGTAGTGTGCAAGCTGGCCAGACTCTTCTTCCTTCTCCTCTCTCTCTCTCTCTCTCTCTCTCTTCTTGGTTTGTTGGGCTGTTTCTGCTACATTCCCTTTGCGTCAACCGGTCTAGTTCAAGTCGTCAGGGAGCCCGTTGCTGCCGCAGACATTGACGGCAGCTGGCCAGTGGTTCAGCTCAGCCAACTCGAGCCACGAGTGCGACGGGTAGCCGGATTCGCTGAACCAGTCACTAAAGGCACGAAGCGACACTGCTGTGTCCGAGTTCAAATCTGCAGCGTCTGTCGACGATTCGGCATACGACTGCAAGACGGCGTCGGCGCCGAGATCGGCAGAGTAGCGCGCGATCTCGGCACTCAGCGAACTGCTGATGCCGTAGAACGCCATCAAGAAGCACGTGAGGCTCGACTTGATGGTCTTTACCTTCACCGTTTCACATGCCGCTTTCTCATTCTTGTCTTCGCCCTCTCCAGCATTCTTGTCGTCGTCGTCGTCGTTCATCAGTGACGCACAACACTGGAGCTTCTCAAACATCGAACCTTTGCAAACAACCAGCAAACCACATATCGCCGCACTGATGTCCACGGACCCCTCGGGCTCGTCATCGTCCGCATCTTCGCTTGCACTTTGTCCATCTTCATTGTCAGACGCAGGTTCGTGCACGAACACACCGAGTAACGAGTGGAGCATCTCCACCGTCTCGTCATTCAACGATCCAACTTGACCGTCCGATCCGCTTGACGGCATCGCTACATGCAATGTTTCACATACTGTCTGCAGTGTGCCCAGAAACACGCTGCGACGCGTCAGCACTGTACCAGTGCTGTTGGCAGCGGAAGCACCCAGCGCTTTCAGAACAGCGTCCCGTAGCTCCCACGAGGTCGCTGTGTGCAATTGCGTTTGCCGCAAGAACAGCTTGAGCGTGGAGATTTCCTCACTGAAAAACTGCAATTCGGCGGCATCCTTTGCAACGGCGAACACCATAGCGGGGCCGTCTGAGCAGAGACTTGTAGCGCTGGCAGATTCGCGGGAGCTCGGTTTTAGATCCGGACCTGGAGTCGGAAGATCACGGACGAATGGCGCTGACACAATGTCACTCTGACGCACTTGTCTCCTTCGCGTTGCGGGCTTCACTGAGTGGTGAAGTGGTTGCATAGGCTCCACTGTCATGGAAGCGGTGGTAGAAATCGGGCCGCGGTTTCGCGATCCCATGAAAGGGGCAGCACGACTGCTCTGGAACGCGGAAGCAATGCTAGGGGCGGACGATCCCATCAACGGATCCTGGAACTCTTGCTGCTGCTGCCACTTGCTGCCATCGAGAAGCTCCACCCACGAAATCAGCTGGTAGCCACCCGTGTTATACCACTCGCCAAACTGCTCGAACGTCACACGCGCCCGCGTGCGTGCACTGCCATAAGCAGATGGACCAGTGCCTGCAGTCCCGCTTGTATCGCCGGTGTTAGATACATCCGTCATAAGATCGCCCATCGCTTCTTCGATGAAATCGTCCGCCTCCACGTAAATCTTTTCCAATCCGAGGCGATATGTCCCGTCGCTGAGTGCCATAAGCGCCAGCAGAAATGACCGCAAGTAGATGAACAAAACCGAATGTGGAAGCGCATTCACCTCGGCTACCGATGGCGGTGGAGCCTGACGAGCCGTGCCACCTCGTGTCTTTCTCTGCGCAGCTGATGTGAAATCGCGGGTACTAGGGAACCCGAACGAGCCAACATTCATCGAATATTGACTGCCCTGAACACTGTCGAGTCCGAAACCGAGTCCTCCCGTAGCCGTACTTTGTGCTCCGAATCCACCTAAGCCGGCGGAGGTGCTGTAAGGCACCGGTGCATAACTCGCAAGTGTCTTGTGCCGCTGCTGCCGCATTCTCGTTATGAAGTCAAATGCCAACGAGAGTTTCTGGCTTTTGGAGCCTTTGCCCAGAATGCTCAAACCGCACGCAAGTTCCAGGGCATTCACACGACCACAACGCTTGCGGTCAAACACGTTGAACAGGCGTGAGAGTAGCTTGGATGACGTCTGTTGCGCCTTCTCGGACATGTTGTCCTTGGATACCAGACTGCGCACACATTCGTAGAAGTTTGCGCGCGTCAACACAAGATAAGCTCCTTCATCTTCTTCAACAGCAGCGTACGAGTACATCTGGCCCCGCCGACTCTGTGTGCCAACGGCCTTCGACATCTTTAGCGCCTCCTCAGCTGACGGGGTAGCATAAGCCAGTAGTGCATCATACACTTTGCTTACACTCAGCTCGCTAAGCTTCGTCGAGCGTAGCATGAACAGATACGTCGATATGTCGCTCTCTGTGAAGTGCAAAATGTTGCCTTCTTCAAGCATGTCGAAAGCGCACAGCAGCGGTTTCTCGCGCTTGCTCGCCTCAAAAGCTTCTTTGGCCGGCCACTTCGACAGATCGAGGAGCTCCAACCACGGACAGTCCATATACCCTCCTGCTGCATACCATGCAGCGAACTCAGCAAGACTGATGATGTCCGGACGTTTACATCTAGCCTCACAGAATAACTTAGATACAACAACGCCAGCTGCACGCTCGGCGGCCGAGTTGTTACTACAGGATCTAGAAGAACCTGTGTGGTTCGAGCTGCCGCGTGCAGCATCGTAGCTCGAGAAAGCAAACAACACCACTAGGATAGACTTCAGCATCTCAAATAGTCGGCGCCGAGAAACGTGCCCGTTTCCATGTGACGCAAACAGCTTGAACAACACGCTCAGCTTAGCGCTCTTCGTTGTGCCGCAAAACACGCACATGCCCGCGACAAGATGTACAATCTCAACGGATGTAGTGCTCGTGCCCACCCCACTGGCAAACAATCCACTTTGGTTCTCGCTTTCGTCAATGCTACCATTTCCAGTAGATTCACCACCCTGCGATATACTCTCTTTTTCGAAAAATGTAAAGATACGCAGCAAGTGGAACGAAAGGAATTCCTGGTCCTCGTCCGACAGCTCGTCGCGCGGCACGAGGCTGCGCATGGCACGCAGATAACCCAACTTAGTCAGCGAGCGGTTCTGTGCGTGCTTCTTCAGCAAATGCACGAGTTCGCCACACGTCATACGACTCAGGTTCATGCGTTCCGAAATCGTGTAGACAATAGCAACATCTTTCAAGCGGATGCGTAAGGTCGTGTTGTCGAAAGTTGTCATCTTGAACTGCAATGCCACTGAAGACAGATCTTTTGCTGCAGTTGCCGATGCTGTCGGGGATGTGATGAGATTCGCAATGCCACTGACGGCATCCATGCCTGCTTCAACGGCATAACGATCGGTAGTCCCGAAGCCGGTAGTGTCAAGTATCGCCATGCTCGATTCAGGCATATTTGGCACCAACGATTCATTTACGCGGTTCGAACTCTCGTTAGACGACACCGTATCGTTAGAAGATCCCGAGCCAGTGTCTTCGGATTCCATTCGCGTGGCGTTTTCCAGCGCATGCTGTTGCCGACTGATGTATCGAAGAATTGCACTAGACACCGAACGAGGCACCTCTGGCCATTTTTTCGTGTCCAGCAGCTCAACCCACGCGATGATTGTGTAACCGTGCTTCGAGTACCACACAGCGAATTCTTCGAACGACACGACGCCTCCGCGAATAAATGCGCTCCCAGCTCCAGCACCTGATGCGCGTGATGCGGCGCCGACGAGATGAAGACTGGTGTCACCCGGAAATGACCCGCGGTGTTCATAACGTTCTTGACCTCGGTGATGCAATCGACCCCTATTCGAGGCCGCGTCGGCGGGTGTAGCGACGTCCAAACTACGTCGCTGACCGTCATATTGCATATTTGGTACCGACCGTCGAGTGCTAAACGTCTTGTCGGTGTCTTTGAAAATGCGATCGGCAATTTCGATCGCAGTCGTGTCTGCCACACTAGCAATAGCCTCAGCAGACAGCTCGGAACCATTGCCCAAAGCCAACAGCATGGTCAAAAAGGACCGCAAATACTTCCACATCTCACGGCGAGTAAGACAGCCGTCTCCGTCAGCGTCAAAGAGTCGGTAGGCAAATGCCAGCTTTTCACTCTTCGAGCCCGCACAAAAGATCGTGAAAGCAGCCACGAACTCTACTAAATCGATCTTGCCCGTCCCGCCACGGTTGAACGCGAAAAACAAACGGCTGAGAATATCTGCAGCCATCTTCACTTCCTTTCCGCGGCTCACACCCCGTGGCGCAACGCGGGTGTTGCTATTCGCAACAAACGCAGCTGCCACGCTAGGAGATATATCCACAGGCAATAGATTTTCCACACATTTGTCAAATGTCCGCTTCTCGATAGACATAGATAGCTGATCGTCCATATACGGCTCAAACGCGTCATACACTTGGTACAATTGCACCTGATTGAGCTTCAGCACTCGCTGCAATTCAAAGAACTGGATCAAATCGCCGTTGTCGTAGCTCAAACTCATCAGCGGGAGCTCGGTCACTGCATCGTTGCCGGCATCAAATGGCAAGTCGAATTCCAGCACAACCTCATTTTTTAGACAAATTGCCGGAAGCGTTGCAGGGACGCTACTGCTGTTCGACGGCACAGCCGTGGAGGACGACTCAATCGACTCCGCAAACAGAGTCGCGTCTTTCTTCGTTGACATTGCTTCCTCCTCCTCCTCCTCATTTTCTTCGTCAATAACATCGGCAAACGTGAAGTATGGCTTCTTGACACCCAGATCTTCGTCGGACGCATCGACGGCATCGACGTCCACTTGGATGTTATTTGCCGTGTAATAATTGTTGCTGGCTACAACTGGGTCTACCGAACGAGTATCAAGACCCTCCAACGTAAACGAAGGTGACACAAACACCCACTTCCGAAGATCCAGCAACTCGAGCCAGCTCATTGCTTTGTAACCTCCGCCATTATACCACAATCCAAAGTCTTCAAAGGCGTATAAACCATCTTGCATGTCCGAATCTGTGCGCTCGCGATCGCTATCAAGTCCATCCACATCGTCCTCGACATCTCCATTATCTACAGACGACGCTTCTGATCCTTTCCTGACCGCCGTCGCTCCTACCGTGCTCGTCATCTCCCTCTTCGCTATAAAAACTCTCCATAATGGTCTCCAAGATTTCTGTTTCTCCCTTGTCGACTACTCCCGCCAGAGAACCGTACCGCAGCACAGCTTCAGCTGGAGGGGAGAAATGCAAAAGCGTGATCAGAACAGAGCGCAAGAACCTCCAAAGCTGCTGACGATTCAGACACCCTTTGCTGTCTGCGTCAAAATAGTGAAACGCAGCCGCGAGCTTGTCGCTTTTCGATCCCCACGCCATTAGACTAAAGCCAGCCGCTACCTCGAACGCGTCCACGGTGAGGCAGCTCGCAGGCAAAAACGACCGAAAGAGCGCAAGCATCACTTCCAAGAACGCGCTCTCCTCCATCAGATGCTGCTGGTCCGTCATGCTCAAGAGCTCTTCAATCGCTTCCAAAAACGTCTCTTCCTCAAGCAGACCATCGCCGGTGTGCTGGATAAACGTGTCGTACATTGTCTCGGGCGCCACGCGCGTAAACGCCGACTGCACCAGCAAATCATACAAATCCGCTGCTTGCTGCTCCCCAATCGTCAACACGCCGCCTTCGATGCTGGAAAAGCGAAAGCCCAGTGCTGTAGCACCTTCTCCGCCCTCCTCTTCTTCGTCCTCCTCTACCTCTTCTCCTGCAACGTCCGACTCGCCAGTCAACGACGTCTGTTTCTCGGCTCCTGGCCAGTGGGCCATGTCCAGCAACTGCAGCCATGCGCCGCAGTCCTGCGGCCCGTCACTCGCCTCTTCGATCCACGGCCACACCTGCGTGTCAAACGCCAGCGACTCGTCTTCGCCTGCAGACTGCGCGGCCCATAGACGCGCTACGATCTCCTCGACGTCCACCGAGTGAATCGACGCGCGCACGTGCCGCTCCTCGTCGCTCGTCGTCTCGTCTGTCGCGAGATCAAACGCGGCCACGACCGACCGCCACAAACAGCGCAGCGCCACGCGCACATTTTCCGCCGTCACGCGCCCGTCAGCGTCTTCTTCTACTTCCGCTCTACTGCCACACGTGCGTCGACTAAAGTCCACCGCCGTCGCCACTTTGCGCCTGACGTCGCCCGGCACGAGCACGAGACAGCCACTGGCCACGTGTGTCCATCGCCTCTGCTTCTCGTCTGTGCCTGTAACTGCACCAAAGAGCCGCACAAGGGCCTCGTGCAGCTGCGGTTGCTGCTGTTCGTCGCATGTCGCAGGCGTCATCAGGTCCAGCAGCGCCGGCAACGTGAGCTCCGCGTCACCGGCTGTCCGATCGCGGACGGCGCTCGCGAACGTCGCGAGACTGCGGCAACAGGGGGCGAGCGGCGCGACGACGAGCGCGTTGCGCACGTGCCACGCGCGCGCGGTCTGCTGTCGTGTGAGGAGCGGCAGTTCAGTGCGCGCACACAGAGGCGATGCGGTGGCGTCGGGGAGTGCGCCATCTGCGACATGCGGTGCTGCTGCGCGCATTGCCTGCGTGGGCGTGTTGACCATAGGTAAGGGAAAGGGAAAGGGAAAGCACGACGCGCGGCGCAGTCAAGTGGACGCGCGTGCGGTAAATGAGACACAATAAGCGTCGACGGAAGTTGCACTTGAAAGGCCGTGCAGCGCGTCTTCGGCTCCTTCTTCGCGTTGACGTTGCGGTTGTTGTTGTTGTTTTTGTCGTAGTTGTCCGCCTTTTTCTTCGTGTTGCGCTTCGGGGTCTTCGTCTCTTGCGTTTAGTTGGGTGCGCTCGCTTCCTCGTTGGCGCGCGCACTCTCTCGCTCACGCACTCCCTCACTCGCGCTCTCTGCCGCGTATATTGGGCCCCAGATGATGCCGTTGTAACCACCGCGTTGTTGATCGGTTTGTCGCATAGTGATAGCTGCAAGTCGGGGACCGCTCTTGCTTCTCTCTATCGGGAGAGAAACCCTATCCCGCTCAAAAGGACGGTCGATACAAACAGCAGCAGCCAAAACATGGGTCCACGCAACATAACAGAATGTCGCTCTTTCTCGCAGCGAATTCGTTCTTGTCCACGGACTTGAGGTCCCTCATCTTTGTGTGTATGTGTCTACAAAAGAAGGATAGCCGGTATTACGACGCTCGCTTTTCTTCCGACGGTCAGCTGCAGTATCTTGTGACAAAGCCGACGATTGCCACGAAAGAATGTCGCGCGTCCGTCGGCAACTGCCTTTCATGAACCATCGGCCGATCGACCGCCTGCGCATAGCGTGCACATCGGAGCCAATTGTTCCATGTACACTACGCGACGCGTCGGTTGGCACATGTGTGTGCAGCGATGAGGTCAAGAGCCATCGCCCCGAGGGAGAGGGAGAGCTCATCTCATCGCATGTCACTGAGAATGCATCGACCATGCGCAATATGCATTATTCCGTTTAACGGTGAGGTAGTGTTTGCGTCCGTCCATCGTTCTTGACTATGGGACTGGACAGTGTCTCTGGGTATGCGCGTTGAGCACCATGTAGTCTCCTCTCTTTTCCTTGTACGTGCGAAGACGAGATGATCGCAATGGAAGGAGACGGTAAGGATCGTATGAGGCTTCGCTCGTGCGACGTCCAAGACCATCGTAACCGTCGATCGAGCGAAGTCCTTCAAATTCTCTGGACCCATTTACATTCATCGCCAAGTTGTGTAGTACAGCTATTCTCCTCGTCGACAGCGACGTTGCTTCGATTATCATGGGTGACAATCAGATGTATATAGTCACAGACGTTGCTTCGTTTATCATGGCCGTGACAATCAGACTGTATAGTAGTCACAGACGTTGCTGCTGTTACAAAACAAAGTCGTGCTACGTATTGTGCGATGCTTATGTGTGCTACGTATTGTGCGATGCTTATGCGTGCGACGCCATTGTTAAACTTTCTGCGATCGTCAGGTGCATGGGCCTCTTTTGATCTTCCGGGTCGGATCGCGCCAGCTTGTGGCAGTATACCGCCAGAAATGACCGCGCCATCACCTCAACCAATCAACGCGTCCCATGCGAACCGCTGAACCGGCTCGGCATCACTTCAGCCAATCAATGCATTTACACAATCGCTGGAGGCAGTGGCGCGCTAGCGTCCCCCACGTTTCTTCATTTTTCATCTGACGACCACGTTGCCATCCGACACCTACGCCGCTATCCATTCTCACTTGTGTGTATACATTCGACGTTCGGCCCACCTGCTCAACAATACGGCCTCGTTGCCCCACTAGTGGCGACTTGGCCGAGCATCGCGAGCCTAGAAGAAGAAAGGGGGTCGAGGGATCTCTTCGGAGTTTGTGAAGAAGGGGTTTTCACGATCCTCTCCATATCAAAAGCACTTTGCATGTTTAGACTAACAAATGAAGACGACGATGCACTAACTGTAATAAACACTCACATATAAAGCACTCGCTAGCACTCGCTGTAATTAGTAGGTCAGCTGCAACATGCCGAACAGTATGACCGAAATGCTCACTGTAGCATGGAAGCACAGAGCCTTTCACGTCATGGTAGACCCACTCCTCCCTATTGTAAACACAGCGAACACCTGTCGGCAAACTGGCTACGATTACTTCTCGCCTTGGCAAATACACTCCAAGTCCACACAATCATACCACGCTTGCCACTCTTCAGCTCAATGTCCAATTCAATCGTGAAGTAACGCCACGCATCACAACACTTACAGCAGCACCCTTCCCCGCTTCCTGTCTACCTTTCAAACAAGTGCTGATCTCGCTGCTAGTTACTTCGCACCACTGTCGCACACTCAGGAGCGGTCAGCGTGGTGCACCTCTGCGTACTTGTCCATCGGCGACACTTGCGATGATTGCCTGCACCAATCGAGCACACACACACACAGCACAGCACAACGTCGCATCAGCTCCTTGTCCTGCACAACACCGCATCACCTGCATCAACTGTCTACTCTGCAGTGTGCCCAGCCACAATTACAATTACATACCAGAACGACGCGGCGCACATAGCAGCGCCCGCCGCAACGCCTGCGCCGACCCCCACGCGCATACTCTGCTTCACCATACCCGGCACGACGCCCACGAGCGCCCCACCCACAGCTGCATTGATCGCGTCGTCCTTCTGACGAATCGTCGCGGCAAAGTACTCGCCCGACGAGTAGATGCAGCCCACGGCGGCAAACACGAGCTGCCGGTCAACACACCACGACCTCACTCGGTTAGTAAATGGGTACATTTACTCTCGGGCACTCATGTAGCCATCGACGCAACGTACCGAGCGCACGCCGAGGTGCTTGAGTTGGCTCGAGAGCGTGGGTAGCTTGGCACCTAAAGTCAGCATACAGTAATCAAGTAACAACACGCCCGCGCATCGCAGTCCAGCAAGCAGGTGTCGGCTAGCGTAGAGCGCTCTCCTATCAAAGGTAGCGACATACCGAGTTTCGGGATGGCCCACACAGACTCGACGGAGCCAACAGCGGCACCGAAGAAGGCACCTGCACCCTGTAACAGTAGCAACGATATTGTGAGTCCTCAGGTGGCGCGAGAGGCGACGCACGGAGAGGTTCGCACCGTCGCGTGCACAATCTTTTCGCTTCCTGTCGGTCCGTTCATTTGGGCGTGAGGTGTTTTATTGAGCGGCTCCGAAAGCGGTCGTCTGATTGGTCGAGTGGGGGACAAGTGGACGCTCGTGTTTCGTAAATTGACAGCTGTGCGTGTAGCGCAGGTTGGGGTATAGTGTGAGGATTGAGCGGGCACGAACGAGTATCTTTGTGCTTGGGGCAAAACGATAGTGTGTGAAGCTCTGCTGATGCATCGTGATTGCTAGTTGAAAACTACTCCAACACCCGTGGGAAGGCCACTGGCCGGCTCCAATTTCTGATTTATCTCCCAATTCGGGAGGCCCTGTCGGGTACTCCATGACCCCTTAACTTACATAGACATATCCTGATCATGATCTGCTCGTTACCACACTAACACGAAACTCGTCTACATTGTGAGTCACTGCGTGCCATGTGCTCCATCCGATGCCACAAGACTTCATCTATCGATCAGTGGTGACCTATGCGTAGCACATATAATTGTTGCTGCAACGTACCTTTCGAACGTGCTGTCTTCGAGTAAAGTTGTACGCCCACGTAGCAGACTCTATCGAGCTTACCTCAATCAGGCAAAGCGATGCACAGGCCTGACACGAAGTTTAGCTTAGTTGGCAGTAGCTCGCTGCCCCGTTCAGCACGACAGCAGACCGTACCATTTTGCGATGGTTGTGATACCATACAAAAACACGCTGCACTTCCTGCTGCGATACGAAAGACCGATCGGGTCAGCTGACCTGGTCGTAACGGCCGGACCAGACATCGCCACGATCCACATGCTACTAACAATCGCCCGACTCCTGAGGCACTTTTTGCATTCACTGTCTGCTGTGCCAAGCGACCCTGCGCAACTTCGGCCATCCGACTACTTAAAGCGTGACAACATTTTGCTCTGACACAACGATAAAACAGTGACAAGGGGACGTCCGCGTCCATGCAATCGCTTCTTCGACAGCTGTCCTTAGTTACTGCAACATGCATCTTGACATGATCGCACTGCTGCGTCTTTGCTTTTTGGGGGCAAAGTGTTATGGGGCACACCCTTGCGTGAACTTAACGCAAGGGTTTCAGGTGCCCCGACAGACGTACACGAGGCGAACGAGGAAGCGTAGGATAAGGAGAAAGTAAAACTGTTGTATTAATATAATTAAGTCTTCTTGCTAGTGTCTCTTTGTTTTACCTGACTTAATTATGTTAATATAACTGAGTGTATGGTGACGTCTCGTCACCACTCATTGCGCGCGTCCTGCGGCGATTGGTGGGTTGATATCATTACGATATCAACCAATGAGCAGACCCTTTGGTCGCTTCACCAATATCACCATTATCGGTGATATTGTTCAAAGAATATTCACTTAATATTCTTTGTTGTCACTTTCTTTTATAGTGACACTTCCATGTAACGGGCTGCCCCGTTACATCACCCCCCTTAACTGATAGTCACCGTGTGACTATCGAAAATTATGGCGGCCACCCGTTGGGCGCCATTGGGACAGGGAGCACTTGTTATGTCAGTTCCGTTCATAACTCAACCTGACCTCGCATAGTTAACATGTCTATGCGGGGTGACTCAAGGCACACAGAGTCTGTGCCTGTGCCAGCTTCTGCGGCAGACGATTCGTCGTCTGCTGCTCGTTCTTCGCCTGCAGCAAGAGGTGCTGCAGGTGCACGCGGTAGCAGCACCGCGTGCGCATGATGACCCCGACATTGAGGTCATCTATTCTGGCGAGTCAGACGTGTCTGACTCGGGCAATGCTGCAGAGGCGTCTCGCTCACCGGCGACGCCTCAGTGTTCGCCAAGGCCACTGCCGAACGAACGGACTCGTGAGTTGCAACACAGTCTGTTCGGCAGTGATGACGAATCTGATGATGAGTATGTTTGCTCATCACCGAAATCAGCTCGTGCTCCTTCGCACGAGCGACCTGACGATGATGCTACCCATCGTCATAATGACAACCGTGGTACCAACAAAGGTACCACCGTGAAGCGTGATGAGCTGAAGCCGTGGCGTTTGCCCGAACGGCTCATCAATAGCTTGTCTCACGAGACAAGCCAACACCATCGAATACCCTTCTTCGATGCGACTGAGCTTCACGGCTTGACTCCCAGCGCGAAGAACTTTCGCGCTGAGGAAGAATTTTATCTCGATGTCTTCCTTAGACATCGATGGTACAACAGCAACCAAAAGCGTGACAAAGCCTCGCTTTTGGCTGCGTGGAACGCGTTCGTCCAAAACGTAAAGAATTTTGGACGAGAAGGGTGGCTCAAGAAACTTGAGGCGACACGCCTCAGGTTCGAAAAGCGAACGCCAACCGGTGCCAGGTACCGGTTGCACTGTTTGTCGAGTGAGGCAGGCATTCCTTGCCTCACATGGGGAGACCCTTGTGCGAGTTGTGTTGACAACTTGCAGCGTGCACATAGGGACGTGTATTCCCTAAGTTCGCCCTGGGGAAGGGCACACATCTCGGAGGAGATGCGTGACGCGATTGCAAGCTTGCAATCCGTCTACAAGCGCCTAGGGCGCGTGTTTACCGATGGGCCCGAGGACTCATCGGATGGGTCTCGTCATACTGGCGGACGAGACCTTCAACATCCATCAACAGCTGAGAGCGGGGCTCCCAGCTGTTCCAAGAGGGTGGATACCCCCGCCACTGGACGAGGTAGCTCGTCCTTGATCCTGAATCGTCACGGTGATTCAAGATACGCTCCACTAGAAAGCGTTGACCACCGTGAGCATCCACCAAAGAATGTGGTGGAGGAGGAAAGACCTCCTCCAGATGATTCGGTTCACCATCTCGACCCTTACGAGATGGATCGCGCAATCGATGAATTGCGCGATGACTTGAAGCACGAGCGCGACCGGCGCTACGCTTTGACGGATACCGTGCGGAAGAACCGCAAGGATCACGAGGCTGATCGGGCGAGGGGTCGCGCCGATTATGCCACAGCGCAGCTTCAGGTCGAGCGGGATGTCCACTCCCTTTACGGCGAGCTGGCGACAGCTCGCGGTGATATATCTATGTTAAGTTCCGAGGTATCATATCTGCTCGATCGTACGGATCGTCAGGAGCGCGAGCGCAAGAACTTGATGGATGTTCTTGAACGTGGGGGCTATCTTCATCGGAAGAAGAAGGCTCGTACTGACAGTACGGCCTGAGTCGCCCCACGTAAAACGTAGGATGCGTGCGCATCCTACGTGGCAATTCGATCGTGTATGCATTGCCCTTGCGATGCAACACTCGAAATGGCCCAATGTACTTCGGCAGTAGTTTACTATTGCCGACACTACTGACTCCATGTCCAGGTAAGTTTACCGTAGACAGTAGTACTAGGTCGTTAACTTTAAATGAAAGAACATTTGCTCTTCCATTCTTGTCTGCGTTCCGTTTCTGACGGTCCACCGCATTTGCGATGGAGTCCTGAACGAAACGGACTACCGCTTCTCGAGTCAGCAGGAAGTTCTCTGCTGACTCTTTGTTTTGTCTTTCAGTGCGCTTCGTGCGCACTGCTAAGAGATTGTTCTCTTCTTCAGCGAGGTTGTCTTCTTCCTCGCTGGAATAATCGTTGACGATGCTGAATATACCAGCATCGTCATCATCATCCGAGTCAATAATAGCGTCGTCGCTATTATTGAGGTGATCTTCTTCATCGATGTCGACTTGATCGACATCGGCATCATACGTGACGACGTTAGAGTCGACACGTGATGAGCAAGAGCCAAAACAGTTTTTGCTCGAGCGAGTCCCTCCCCCCTTATCCAAAAGTCACACTCTAGAAGGGTGGGCACACGTGGATGGCGTAGGCCATTCACGTAAAACGGTGTGTGCTGTGTGGAAGCATGCACCGAATTATTGATGGCGAATTCCACCATGGGTAGGAATTCGCTCCAACTCGGAAACGAGTGGACATATCCTCGAAGGATCTCTTCGAGGACACGGTTCACACGTTCCGTCTGACCATCTGTTTCGGGATGGTCAGAAGTAGACATCTTCAATCGTGTTCCCAATGTGCGGAACACGGTTTGCCAAAATGCCGCCGTGAACCGGGGGTCACGGTCGGACACAAGTTCACGGGGTAACCCGTGGAGTCTAAAGACCGTGTCGAGAAAGACACGAGCACAACCTTGAGCCTTGATCGACTCAGGGACTGCAGCAAGATGCACCATCTTGCTGAATCGGTCAACAAACACAAGAATACCAGTATTCTTGTGAGCGTCTTCGGGAAAACCGAAGACGAAGTCCATTGAAACGGACTGCCAGCACTCTGTCGGAACAGGCAGAGGCTGCAATGGCGCACGGGATGAAGGACTAGGCTTCACCCGTTGACAAATCTCGCAAGCACGTATGTACTTGCGGACAAACTGATACTGGCTTGGCCAGTAAAAGTCACGTCTTACCGTGAGGTAAGTCTTTTCTCTACTACGATAGCCGCTTGTTGGGGCATCGTGACACTCATACATGATGCGTAAACGCAAATCATGATGAGCGGGGACGACGACACGAGGCGTGTCGTCGGCAACAGCTGTACAGTACAGCAATCCGTTGCGTGTAATATACCGATCCGACGAGGATCGGTACAAAGCTGGTAAATCCCTCATGGATTTATTGGATGGATTCACCAGATGATCCATCAATCGCAGAAGATCCTTATCTTCCGCGTATGCCTTTCGTACGTCGTCAAGTAAACTTGACGACGGGACACTGACTGACAGTGTCGCAACAGTGGGCTTATCCTCACTGTTGATTTGTGCGTCCGGCTCGAAATCGGGCCGGCGCGAAAGCGCATCAGCGACGACATTGAGTCGTCCTGGTTTATACTCCACGGAGAAGCTGTACTCCGCGAAGAAAGACAGCCACCTCGCCATCCTTTGCGAGAGGTGTAGGCTGTTTACGGCCGTGCGTAATGACGCATGGTCCGTATAGACAACAAACGGTCTATCTCCCAAGAGATAGACGCGAAACTTAGCCAGTGCGTACTTCATGGCAAGGAGTTCCTTGTCATGCACTGGGTAATTA